GAAATTTCTAGCTTGATTTTCCATATGCTCAATTTTTAAAATTTTAATTACTCAATTAGAAGCACCACGCAAATTTCCGTTTCTGTATTTTGCTGTAATCGTCTTTATGAACGTTTTTGCTGTAGAATTTATTTTGATAGGAGATATACATTCTCAAAAAGGTTTGATTCGAAGCATTTCAGCCTGTCCAAGCTTGAAAGGCATACTTATGCATAATTTTTTTACTGATAAGTTTGCATAATCACCATTATCGAATCCATTTAAAAAAGAAAAGATCGTAATTAAATTTTTATTGCTCCGAACAGGCTCGACCAACCTTAAAAAAGAACCGAGTGTAATCGTCAGTACCGCAGATTAACTTCGTGATGCATGCCGAGATCTGCTTAATGAGTTGATCGCTATTCAAGACTCCGAATCAAAACATTTGTACAAAAAAAGTCGGGGACAATAAGCAAATGCCCTGAATAGCAGGATAGCATTTAAAGCCATGCTCAAACAACTCCGTTTCCGGATTAGAATGCTTTCGTAAACGAGCAACTGCGAAATAACTCCGAGTTATTCGTACGAAACAAAAGAAGGGTGAAAGACTCAAGCCAAAATCTTTTTGTAATTGAGACCCGAAATGTTGCACAGTACCTTTAGCGCCACCTGGTTGTCGGAGCTGCTGCTTATGGTTTCCTGCCAGTAGACCAGGGTTGCCATACTGGTACTGCCTTCCGTTGTTGCTGATCCTGGCATCAAAGCTTCTCGCTCGTTTCCTTCATCCATAAATCACATAGACTTAGAGCGAGAAATCATTTAACAATAAAAGGCCCATACTGTAATCACATAGTGATCACGTTCGACGCATATATGCGTAAAATGTGCAATCACGCCTTGAAAAATGTGACAATAAACACGCATCTAGAAAATTATTGAAATGTGAGATCCAAGGAATTTAAACCTTTGTGCTTTTTCAACGTTGCGTACATCATCCCATGAAATCTGAAGGCAAGACCACTTTTATAATGATCAATTGAAAGCAAAGATGGGCTCCGAAGTTCTTCTTTCATACAATGTGTCATAAACTATACATTTTTTAAACGACAATTTCAAAGGCCTACAATATGTCAAAGATATTTTTCCACGCAATATTGTTGGAATTAATTCACAATAAGGAAATTTTGATAATCATGGATCTTGACATTGTCAAAGGAGAGTCGATTTTTATTTTTGAGATCTTTGCACACTCATTTACAAATGCCTTAAATGAAAAAACATACACAAATTAGCAAGATGCAAATTTTCAAGCGGTAATCGAAAAGTCAAAGTGGTCGTTAATTCTTCTAACGAGAGAAATGTGGACAACAGTTTCCAGAATTTACGCCAAATTATTTTCATTCGCAGTTCCGTCAACATTCGTGCCAAAGCTAAATTTCCAATATATTTAGCGATGAATATGTGGGCAGTGAATATTTTCAGCACGCTGTGCTAAATAACTGTAAAAAAAATCGATCAGTGCTGAAAAACACAAAGCTCTACTAAATGTATTACATTTATAAAATACTTTACTGTGTAGGATTCCGTAAAAAGCGTCATATTCTAAAATAATTTCGCCTCTTTCTCATTGNAGGAATCTTCGATTTTCACAGAATTTTCTACAAACTTTGACTTATTGAAGTAAATACGTACACTCTATCAGTGCTTTTTAACAAATGTGTCAACTACTGTATTTATATAAACTTATGATTAAAAAAACCCTAAATGGCGGAATTAAAAAACTGAATCGCGATACTTCTGTTAGTTGATTCGGCATCACGTATTTTCCACAGGAAAAAAATTAAATTTACATTTTCGCCTTTTTCCTGTAGGAAAATTACATAAGCCTCAAATTGTCCTACGTAGAACTCCATAAAGCAAGAAGTTGGGAATCAGTCAGCTGATTTCTAAAGTAAGCAGCCAAACAAAAATCACTCGACTGTTGTTTCGTCAAGCAAATCAAAGCAGCAGTGTTTTCGCAAAATAATTCTTGCAAAAAGCGCGTAGCGTTTCAAACTAATAAGAGCATTGCAATACATACGCCAAGAACTCCAGCAGGTAATTTTTTTCCATTCCCGAGAACGTATAATAAAATAGATAACTTTCTCAGTAATTATCCTCACATGGCGTCATAATTAGGTCCTGATTGCTGGTCATCAATTAATCTGCGTCCAGCAGCAACTGCTGATCCATTGATTGGTGGCAATGACGGCACGGAACTCACTCCGCTTCCTCTACCAAGGCCATCAGCACTGAATAAAATCAACATGAAAAATTAGCCGCTATTCAATTCATAAATCGACTTGAAAAATTAGGCATCTGACCTCAAAAAGCTTTTGATGGACATGTCGCTGTTTGGCCGCCGATTCGCAGTCATCAGCGCTTGTCGTTTGATGAAGAGAGTGTTTTGTTGACTGTTGAGAAAAATGCGTGGGATATTTGAATTCAAAATTGCAAAAAAAGTTTTACGTCGATAATCTGCATGGTTAGGTATGATGTTCCTGTAGTCTCACTTTTGTAAACTTGGCAGTTTTCCGTCTGAAGATACCCTTGATTTTGATGAAGTCATCCTTGTTGCGGGTCCAGAGCCTTCATACTGACGAAAAAAAAGGAATTGATAAATTTAGATCGGGCATGAATAAATAATTGAGTTATTTATCTATCAAGAAGCTAAGGAAGACTTTTATTCATTTCATTCATAAAAAAAACACTTCATATTCTCATTGCTGTAGCATTGATAAAAGGGACAGAAACAAAACTTTCTACTTAATTCTCGAAAACGGGTGCAATTTACGAATTGAGTTACAAGTTTTACAAACATGCAACGCTCGCCTTTTCTCACGAAAACGTGAAAATGCAAGATCAAATATTTCAGCCATTGACCAATATTTCCCGGATATATTAGGAGGGTATTTTAAAATCTTCTTTCAGAATATTTGCATAGCATCAAAAACAATTTGAAAATGTTCCAAGTGATAACTTACTCAACTTCACGCGATTTCGTTATGCAAAAACATTTGTTGTGCAAGTCACCTTTTGCCAATAAAAAATTATCATGCCATATTTTCGATATACGGGTTCATTTTTAGGTGGGGAAAATTTTTTAAAGCCATTGATCTGTGCAGAGAAAAATGAGCATTACCCTGAAGAGATTTAGTTCTCCGCTGAGTCTTCGCTCTTGTTCCCGATTCGGTAATTGGAGTTCCTGAACGTACACCTCATAAAGTTTTTCCAGATCCTCTGGCACAGCACCTCCATTATCTGACAAGTAAAGTAAATATGATCAACAGCTTCAAGAAAGGACAGAAACACTTTTCTGTGCCGGCGATTAAACTCCGTGGTATTGCAACTGAGCGCCGGGAAAACTCGGCCTAGTGTAAGTGAACTTCTGCCTATAACCCTACATATGGACATGCTAGAATTATTAGCCACCGTGCAAAAAGAATGCTATTATCGAACTCCGTAATTTTCTTCGTTCCACCCAAGAAATTCCCTGGAATTTCCTCAATTTTTGTGGCGGCCAAAAATTCTCAACTCTATCGCGGGCAATTCTGACACAGTATTAAGGGTTACCAAATTAGTGCCCGATGCCGATCACAAGAAGAAATGCGATGATTTGTCAAGTAGGAAGGAATTGCTTCATCTAAAAATTTCATTTCACGTGGGATATAGTCGCTATTGCGGTTATTCCAATTTGCGATACTTCAACTGCTCTTTAATCTGTTTAATATTTGCAAAAAACAGTACACTTCATAAATTCTGTTACAACGGAATTTTATAGGGGGGGGGGTAGAGAAATATTTTACTAAAAACTCATTGAGATTCTATTTAAAATAGTTGGAGAAATTCTCAAATCAAAAGCTTGCTGAATTATCTTAAATTTTTTCTGTGTGGGTTCTGTCGGGTTCTCGAACACAATTTTTGAAGCAGAAAATTCGTTGCATGGGCAATCGTTGCAATTTAATTGAAACTGTACATGTAATTTATATTTTTAATCGTTGGACGGATGGAAATATAAACTTTAGATGCGTCGATCAAACATCTACTGATCGACAAGCTGGGATTATTATTCCCAGTTTTGGTCGGCGGATCTCCGTCATCAACTCTGGCGTTCAATTGTCTCAACGCTCATTTGTTTCCACTCGCGTTTGAATTTGGCAACACTATCTGGCCCTCATTTGACAAACACGCATATGATGCAGCTCAGTCAAACTCACCGCTGATCAATTGTCGTTGGCGAGTGATGATTTGGTCGCACAAATTCCGCTGCATCTCGTGTCTCACCAGCAGCAAATCCCTTCTTCTCAGCTGATGTTCTCTCAACAAAGCGTCTCTCTGCAGCTCAGTTCTTTCAATTTCCAATTCATGAACCCTCAGCAACAACATGTAAACTTCTCGTTGCTCCTGGGTGTTTATTTGCTGCGGTAATTCCTGGAAGACATTGAATAAGTATCAAGAAGATGCCCGACACGTTGTACAAGTGAGAAGTCTTTCGTCATTAAGTTTACGCCTGACTGATGGAGTTGATCGAGAAAAGAAAATATCCGCATGGAATTCGGAAAGTTTTCATTCAGTTTCTCCAAAAATGATGATGCAAAGCAAACGAATCTGTAGAGGCAAAATTGGGTCAGATGACAAGATAAATAATTTTTCCCTGAATAATCATTGGAAAAAACTAGAGTGATATGATTCAAACATGTCCTTCGAATGTAACCAGAAAACGGCGGAATTCCTTGGATCCCGAAAATTGAGCCATAAAAATTGCGTACCTCTTCTAAAACTTTGGCTTTGTGTCGACATTCGTCCAGCTGTTTTTCAATGTCGGCTTTCATGTCGTCATAACGGGTTTGTTCCCGAATAATAAAAGTGAGCTCATCCATGGCTTGAGCCACGTCCTCAGGATCATCATCTTCATCTGGTTCTGGTTCTGAAATCCAAAAGAAATGAAATGAAACTCTTAGAACAACAAAAATTACCCTTGAAACGAAATCTCCGCATAAAAAAATTACTTGTCGTCTCAAAAGGATAAAAATAGATAACATATCGCTGGTGACATAAATTCGTTGCAGCAGTGCAAATACTGTATAATAAATTCATACCTAAGCACAAAAACTTTACGAAAAATCTGCGATGCTTTTAATCACACATTTGTTGGCATAGACAGATATTCTGCATTCAGCTATCAAAATGTCTTCGATAGCGTGAATAATGGAATTCACCGTTTTTCATACCTCCGAATTTATGTCAAAACAGGTGGTAAATCTTAATATTTTCCAAAATGTAAATAAAATACTGCAGACAATTTGAACCATTTGTGAGCACTCAAAAAAGAACACATCTTTTGTAAAATGATTCAGCATAGAACCCGTTTACTGCATTTTTTCATGCAAATTTTCGTATGACTATTTTCCTTCGCCGAGATTTCACTTTATTATTGATCTCCTACGTATGTGTCTAAAACAGTGGCGAAACCGCATGAGATATCCATTCTGTGGTCGTGGAAATATATTCAAAGTTTTTGAATGTTTTACGAGGGATTGTGCGATCGAAAGTTCGCAAAAATATCACCATCCATGAGATCATCCGGGGCAGGGGAATTCTGTCCGCAGTTTTCCCGAAGTTTGTCGAGTTTCGCCAATAATTTTTTTGGTTTTCTGCCTCGAAGTGCTTGATCAGCTTCGTATTCTTTGACAACCAGTTCTTGTCGCTCGTATTCCATCGCCAGAGCCAACATACTGTTTTCCACGTCCAACAATTCGTGCCTGATGGTGGGATTCGCAAGCAAAATAACAATCAACTCATATACTCTGTATTCGTACATATCATGAAAAAATATCAAAATTTTGCGGTTAAATTTTTGTTCGGCGAGCAGTATTGTCTTGAGAATGAGAGAACGTGTTTTTTGCTCAAGAACGCGTTTCCTTTTGACTTATACGCGATCAATTAGCTTTTTTTATTTTTAGCTTTTATCTGAATTTTCACACGATTAATAAAAAAATTATGTTTCGACATATGAGGTTGCATTTTAGAATATCTTATTAATATCGTGGAAAATGACCGATCGATAAATAAACATTTTCAACACCAGATGAAAGATTTGAAATTTCGGTTTCTGAATTATTTGTGAGAAACTCCGCTGATCAACCCACAAATTAAATTTAAGAATATTTCAGCTAAGCAGTAATCAATAAATTCTGATAGTTGCGGAAAAAAGGTCACCGTGAACGTCTGTGTAGATATAAAAGCAAACGCATGAATATTGGATTTCATTTAATAAAATGCCTGGTGAGAATCGTTTGCCGCTCTTCAATTCAATCTTCATCATACTAACTTGAGATCCATTTGCTTTTTGAAGGTTTGAACCAGGTCATCTTGCAAAGCTTTGAGCCTAGCAAGAGCCTCTTGTTCTGCCTTGCGTCTGGCTTCTTCTTCGGGACTGAGTTTCTTTTGTGGTCCTCCGATGGGATTGGATTTGCTACCTTTGAGTCCAACCAATTCGTCCCCTTCGTCGTCTATTTTCGTCTTCAACCTGAAATTTTTAATTTTTACAACGCAAAAAAATATCAGAAAAACTCGGTATCCCTTTCTTATACTTGCCATCTGCTGAGGAATTACGCTGTGATTGAGTTAGGGAAAAGTCCAAGATTTTTTTTCAATGCAAAAAAAAATGCGTACTAAAAAATTAAAGATGCTTGGCTGATTGATATTATTCTGTATATTCATACAGTTGAAACCAATTAAACCGCCAAAATTTGTGGGGCCTAATTTTGGCAGTTCAACAGGGGTGACATGCACCTTCCTCTCCGAATTGGGGAAGAACCAAGAACAGGGAAAGGTTTTATTTTATTTTTTAAAGCAAAACGAGAAGTTTCATAAGAAAACCTTAGTGCTTTCTTATGAAAAAAAACTGACATAACTGGACAAATTGGTAGTCCAAGGTACAAAAGCTTGGTGTTTTATTTTCGTGGAAACAAATGAGAGAAACCAGGGGTTTCCTCTAAACTCTAAAGTATTGGCAGTTTATGCTGTAGGGAAAAACTGAGGACCAAAACATGTTTTGGGAGGCAATAACCTTGGCAGATAGCACATTGAGGTATTGCCATCCCTTCAATTTTTTGGCCAGTTTGTTTTTGACAAAATTGTGGTGGTATCTGAGGGTGGTGGTTTATTGGGGGCGGTTTAACAGGGTTAGGCTATACAGTAGTTGTTTTCTTCCTGGCAATCTGCTGCTACATTTTATCAAAACTGCTCAATGCACCCAAAACATATCGATGTTCAGTTTATGACTTTGTACATGAACAAATTTCTGAATACCTCATTTTAGCCTCTGTAGATTAGGCTATATTTTTTTTTTTATCTAAAACCAGATTAGGCTGCTTGAAGGTAGTTGGATCTAAACCTGAAATTCCTTAAAGGTCGGCTTCACATCACCCGCATTGTAATCCTGAAAACGTATGAATGAGGAAAACAGGCGCATATGAAACAAAACAAAACGTGATCAGCAGAATTTATGAATGAAAGCATTGGGATAGAAGAAAACAATGCCGTGCTTCCTCCTAAAGTCCTGTAGGACGAATTGTGATTGCAAAGCTTCAAAACACACCTTTGTATTTCTCCCTTGAGATCGTTGATGATTTCCTGATACTGAGTCACATGGTATTTCACGTCAACCACATTCTTCTTCAGCTGTAAGCAATTGATAAATTTAAGTCGCGGGGTTCTTTTCCCAGCGGCATTCATTGAATTAAGAGAAAACTGGTGAAACATTCATGGCCCAAGTATGAATTTAGTGCTTCGGATAAGATGAAAAATACGCTTTAATTTCCATTTTAATTTACTGGTTGCTTGAAATTGCAATTGCAAAAAAGTATTTCTCCACGTTTCCGACTCTTCATTTATATAATTTTGAGTACAGGTGAAATCCCGTCATAGCAAAATCTGTCGCGGAAAATTATTCATCGTAATAAAATGTGTAAAAGGTTCAGGCAAGAATACCAGATATGAAATCATTATACACAACAGCAAATTCATGTTTTCATGCTTTTTTTTATGCATACTTTTTCTGAATTCTCAGAACTTATAGATTTCCCTGCAAATAATTTGGGCGTTTCAAAATGCGTTTTATACGCATTTCTAGCCAAAAATGCTACGCATTTCAAACCTCTCTATGTTACGCCTACTCGGGATTTTAGTTAATGCATACCTTATAGGCGTTTCAAAACGCCCTCTAGTTACAGCTAGGTATTTATCCAGGCGTAACTCAAGTTACGCCTGGATAGGATTGATTATAATGCAGAAATGCGTATGATACGCATTTTTCAACAGGAAATTTTTACAAAGAAAACCACAAAAAAATATTCTCACCAAGACAGACTGTGCTCATGATGCACAATGCACACACTATACACACAC